GCATTAATATGATAAATATAGTAAAAATGTGTTGTCTTATGTCAATATTTTTACATTCCATAATATGTGAGCAAAAATCTTAAACAATAATATTTTAAAATGTAAGGAGTAAAAATTTTAATTTTATTTAGAGAAAATATCTTAAAATATCCACGACTTAATAAAATCGCAAAATCGATATTAGTGAATTTAGGATCTCTGCGGTAACGTAGTACTCCCTTAGTCCCAAATTATTAGTCACTTTGCAAAATAATAATTTATCCATAATTATAATTCACTTTACAATTTCAATGTTGTAGTGAATTGATATCGTTAAGAACAAATCAAAATATGAGAAAGATTGAGTTTTTTGGACAAACATAAGAAATCCTATTAGGTTTTACGAGAAGAGAGAGAAGAAAGAAGAAGAAGAATCATAATTGGTTAATATTGCTTTACTATTCACTTACTCAATAAGGGTTCAAAAATTACAAGTAAATAATAACAATTAATCTCTTTCAACAACCTAAGAAAACTAGTCTATTTATAGACTACTAAACTAACTTATTCTACAAGCTAACTTAGCAATTGAACTTACAAGTAAGACTCAATTCAACATACTTTAAACAAAGCAAATTTCAATTTCAACTACATCATGCATGTGAACAAACTTCGACTATAACATGTATGCCTTTTGTCGAACCAAGAAGGTACTATTATCGATATTAGAATTCGATCCAAATTACCACAAATGCAATATTAATTATATTATTTATCATTTATTACTATTTCTTCTTCTAATTCTTTAAAATTCTCTCTCACGTGTAATAAATAAATTACAATATTGTAAAGTTAAATTAGTATATCATTTTTCATTTCTATATATAATTAAGGTTTAATACATGTTTTAATTCTTTAACTTAATTTAATGTGTTTTAATCTCTTAAATAAAAAACGTTACTAGTTAGTCTCTTAACTTCACTTTTAGTATCCTATTTGGTCTCTTTCATCAATTTCTGAAAAAAAAACATTAAACTCTAGTGATGCGGCGTGATACTAAGAGTATTAGTACAAATCTGAGTCAACAACATATGTAGTTACAAATTGATACACTGTTTAAACCGTAAGGGTTTTTCAAAAACAAAACCTCCATAGTTTAAATAGTGTATCAGTTTTTAACTACCGACAAAAATTTGTACCAATGACTTTACTGTCACGTCACATCACTCAAATTTAACGATTTTTTTTTGTTGTCAAAAATGATCAAATAGATAACAGAAATGAATGAAGTTAATGAATTAATTTGTAACGTTTTTTAAGTTAAAAGATTAAAATAAAAAATTAAATAAAATTAAAAGACATGCTGACTAATTATCCTTATAATTAATTATTATGTAAAATATCCAAAACTTCTTATAATCTAAAATTGATTACTTATTTGAATATCAGTAGCACTTTGCACCGGTCCCAACCCGGACCATCCATCTATTTAAATGATTTTCTCCAACAATCTGAATTCAAATTCGTTCATCAAATTGGAATCAAAAATCAATATTTTGTTGTTGTTTGAATGACAATTAGGAATGAAAATTGATATGAATTTATAAGCATCATGTGATACGGTAAATAATACAAGTGGAAAAGGCGAAGATGGTAATTGAATACAAGTTGAGTGCTTGAGTTGGTTCAGCGAGGTACGCGGGAGCAATAATTTGGAAGTACAAATTTCTGAATTGTGGTCATCACTCTTCACTGCTTACCAAACAAAAAACAAAACCCAATTCACGAGGCTCTCTATTCCTTTCTCACTAACTCATTTTAATTACTTTTAATTCTCATAAATCATAATCCACTAAACTAAACTTTACGTTTATTTTAATCACAAGCTCTTCTTATTATAAGACTTGTCAGCTCCAGATTCTTTACTCTCCTGTCAGATTTCTGAAACAAATGAATGAATGAGAACTAAAGAAATCTATTTTTTTATATTTTTTATTTATAAAAAATGGTGCAATAAATTTGATTTAAATTTGGGCCGGTGAGGTTGTCTCACCGAGCTTTCCAAAATGGTGAAAACTTTAAAATCATAACCTTCTTCAACAGAAAACTAGACCCATCAAGTTAAAGCTTGCATCATTTTTTTTCCATTGTTAATTAACAATTAATTTCAGAACAACATTATACATGTTTCCCTTACGCTAGCTCTGCTATTTGGTTTAGGTCATTTGCCTTACGTTAATGTCCACCTCCAAATAGTACTACTGCGACGACCGCAATCAGGATTACGACTTCTGTGTACCGTAATACAACACCAAACGTTGAAATTTTAGATCCAAAAGCATGGAGAGAGAGAAGTAGTAATAGATGTAACCAATGACATTACTCTTTATTGATGGACCACTTCACATCACGTGCATTATGTGACATAAGATAATTAACCCATGATAATGTTATGGCTTATATCAATATTATGAGTCAGATTATATAATGACCAAAGAAAATCTATATTACAATTACTACAATGACAAAACATGTAGAAAGGAATCTTAAATATACATGAAAGAGGTTTCATAAATGTCTAGTTTTTCATCATGCCCAAAACAGACCACAGATTCCCGTGACACTTTAATCTGCACAAAAAATAAAACCTCTCACAACAACTTTGTAATTTGCATTACGTCTCCTCCCACTTTCTCTCTCTTCTTTTCTGTAGCAGGTCTGTTTTCCCAGCATAGTAAACAAAGCCTCTGCTACACTCTAGCACCCTACTCTCTCATTTTCACCTATTCAACTAGCAATTATTGTGGTTACATAAAAAGCTCTCAAATTTCACTTCACAATGCCAACTTCATCTTCATTTTTGAGGCAGTTAAGTGCTAAGGAAACTTGGAAATCAACTTCCAGCAGGTGGACTGGAAAAAACACCTATAACAGCAGTTTGGGAGTCACTTGCAGTGACTTTGAAACTAATCTGAACCAAATGGAAGGGTTTAACTTAAACATGTATGGAAATGAAGAGAGTAGTGGAATGATGGTGAGGAAAAGAGTTATGGTTGTTGTGGATGGATCTTCACATTCTAAACATGCTATGATTTGGGCACTTACTCATGTTGTTAATAAGGGTGATTTGTTCACTTTGCTTCACATTGTTTCTCCTCAAAGGGCTCATTCTGACTCTTATTCTTCTACTTATCTTGTTAATCATCTTGGCTCACTTTGCAAAGATTGCAAGCCAGAGGTAACTTTCTTTTGTTTTTTAGATTTTGCTAGTTTTCTGTTTCATTGTACTTTTTAAATCTTGAATCAAAAAATTATGTGAATTTTCAATATTAAGTATGAATTAGGATATCACTTTTCTTTTACAACTTTTCTATTCTTTAGATGGCATTAGCTAGTGTCTGAACTTTGAGATGCATGCACTGGTCCCTAGTGTTTATTTTCAGCTTTTCTTTTTAAGTTTTAACATGTCTACCTTTTATGTCTTCTTCTCCTTAAATTAAAGTTTTTATAATGTTATGGTCTGACATAGGTGGAAGTGGAAGCACTTGTAATTCAAGGACCAAAACTTGACACAGTGATGAGCCAGGTCAAGAAATTGGAGGTCTCTATCCTGGTACTAGGCCAAAAGAAGCCACCGTCCCTCTTAAGCTGGTAAGAAAGAGTCATAAAATCCAAACCCCAACAATTTGCAACTTTTTGATACCATACTTTCAAAATTTCTCTTGTTACTTACTCATGTATCTATTCTGAGTTTTTTCTTAAAATGGTTTAGTGATTGTAATTTATTCATTACTTTTTACAGTCTGTGTGGAAGTGGCAGCTGCAGTAGCACAGAGGAGTTTGTGGAGTACTGTATCAACAATGCAGAGTGCTTGACAATAGGAGTAAGAAAGAGAAGCCAGGGCAATAATGGCTTCCTTATCAGCACCAGGTGGCAGAAGAACTTCTGGCTTTTGGCTTAGAACATAGTTTATCATCTGCTAGTAATAGTTTTAGATCTCATTAGAAGGATAAATGGGGAAATAAATTAACCTTCATATTTCTATTGTCATCTATAATGTATCTCACTATGTAACTAATTCTGACTTTTGTATGGTAACTTTACTAATGGAATAAGTCTTGTCAATTTTAGGCATCAAGGTGATTGGTACCCAACTACATGTTTGAAAATCACCATCTGGTTCATGTTTGTGAACAACTTTTTTATTCATATTATGGGTTGATTATTCTTCGCAAGATCCAGAAAATAAAGTCATTGCAGCACATTATTAATTCTACTGCAAATAATAAGTAACCTGCATTGGTCTTGTTAAGTACAGCTGTGGGTTTTAAACTCACAATTCTCCAGTTTTCTACACTGGCTGGAAATCTCTGCTTGAGTTTTTATAAAAATTGCCTGCATTGATTTAATATTTATGCTATCTTTGTTGCAAATCACATGCATTTGAAACACTAATGGACAAATAGCACACTGGTAAGAAGCATTGAAATAGAAACAGAAAATTTGGAGTTGAGACTCAATTCCTGTTTGAAGTACTGTTAAGTATGTTTGTCATTGTATTGTATTGTATTGTAACACAATAGTAGTTGTACTGGTAATTTAACTACAAACACAAAAATAAGTATCTTGCACGTAATGTTAAAACTATATCTGTATCACATGCATCAGAAACACTAATAGACAAATTACTGTTAGGTATGTTAAGTCCAACTCATTAGAAACACTAATAGACAAATTACTGTTAGGTATATTTAGTCCACAACTCATTTGCTATTACAAAAGAACAATAACTTAACAATCATCGCCCGTGGGCTACATACAACAACTCTATGCTAGAAAAAAAAAAAACTCACAAAAGATTCAGGACTAAAGAAACAAGAAAGAATCTTGTATTAAATATTTTGGGGGTAATCTAACACAATAAATAACCAAAAGTCACTTTCATATTTGTAGACCTATTGCTATATCTGCCTTCCAACTGACAGAAGAAACCTCATATATGTAGCTAAACCAATTACGATTAGAACTTATTTTCTAATTTATCATTTACAAGTGGAAGCAACTCCATCTTACTCCGAGGGGTTCTTGGTGTCCGAGGAGTTCCTGGAACCGGTGGCTGTTGAGAGAGCAAATGTCTAACATAGCCATAGAATGTACAACCCACAAGAGTCACGGCACACCCAACAGCGTTAAAGTATGAAATCGGGTTCCTAAATATCAGCCAAGAAACAAGGACAGCAACAGCAACCTGCAAAAAATACATGTTTCGGGTTAATTTAACAAATGCAAAATAACTTAATTGAAAGTTAAAGGGCCGAAAAATATAGCTAGTGGCTTGAACCATTGTGTTAGATCTCACCTTAAGATTCCCAGCAACGTTAAATGTTACAGCAGTGGTGGAGTGGATCACATAAAAAATGGAGAAGTTAAGACAGAAAGCCAACACCCCAGAACTGAAAATAATGATGAGGGCTGACCAAGGATATGGATGAGTATTAAGCCATTCCAGAACTCCATTGCCTTCAAGTAACGTGGCAGGAAGCACCAATATCATGGTTGCATAAGGTGCCATGTAATAAACCGTGTTTATACTAAAGATAACATGAAAAGAAAAATTAGTTTGTGTACTGCAGAAAAATCTTGGCAAAGCAATTTATATAAACCAACATGTGCATGGGAGTAGAACAAAGTAATGCATGGCTAAGAAAAACGCAAGGAATAAAAGGTGAAGAGAAGTAATCTAGAAAAAAAAAATCTTGCATCAATGAATTAAAAGAGTATTTAAGACAGTTTGGAGAAAAGAGAAGGACACAAGCATCCAAAAAGCATAATACAAAATGCAAAACTATTGCATTTTACCACTTGTGGTAATTTTGTATATATATTATAGACTAGAACATTTGATTCGATGCACACATCCAGAATTGTTAGTGCTTTAATCTAAGGCAAACATGAAAAAGATAAATAATTTGCAAAAGTTTATTTTTTTCATAAATATACATGGCTGCCCATGTTGTAACACAACTTGCATAAGTTTATACCCAGCAACAACATCAAGATAGAAATGAATTATTTCAAACAAATATGCAAAGAGTAAAACACCCTGGTTTTTAGAACAAAAATGTCTTTTTATTTTAATGGCCAGTATTATTCCAATTAAGCTGCATGTGCAATTGTGTATTGCCTATACTATAAAGCATTCCTCTATTAAAGTATTACTGTGCAACACAAATATTGATCACCAATGATTACAAATTTACACTCATTATGTATAGAGGTCAGAATATAGTTCTGGTTGAACAGGTGAGGTTAGGGAAGACAATTTGACCCATCTCCAATGGGCACCCGCAAAATTACCCACAATGAGTAGGGTAAAAACCCGCAAAAATGGGTACGGACACGGACTCGGGTAATTACCCACAAAAATAAGCAGATATGGGTGCGGGTACCTTGGTACCCACCCCGCCCCATACCCGCACGATATATTTATGTATTTTAATTTATATTTATATATTTTAATTTATATTATTGCACAAATGTATGTCTATTAATTTTAAAAAGTATATCAATGTTAAACCATTTTGTATTTTATATAAGTGTTTATTTATTTCAACAATAATTATTTTTTGAAAACGGGTATGAACACGGTACACTTTGACCCCCAATCGGGTATGAACACGGGTACGGGGATTTTTTCAAATCGCGGGTATGGAGATGGGTACTATAGTACCCTGCTCAAACTCTTCCCATTGCCATCCCTAGGTGAGGTACCGTCCTAGGTGCCTCGCCAATGGCCATTATCAAATATTATTGGATATATCAATTATACAATCCAATCCCCAATGTTCTCTGAATTGTCTACATCTATTTTTTCCGGCATGATGAGAGACTGTCGTTTCTATAAAGAACCTCATCCTCAACACCCAACAGTTGCAATGGTTAGTGCATTGGCATGGAGACTAACAATGGAAGCACTAATCTCAAACTCTGAAAATTAGAGGATAATGCTGATGTGGTGACTTTGTTAGGAGGGAGGATATAAAGAGAGGAGTGTGGCTAGAGTGGAGAGTCACTGGTACTCTTTGTATCTTTCAGTCGTAACTGACAAGAGGAATGTCCATTATCTGAAGGAGCTTTATTCTGGGGATTATAGACGGAAAACTCTTGTAATCATATATTTTCAATAAATAGTGGATTTGAGGGATATTTTGTTGAACAGAGTGTTCTCTTTTGTACACATCGTGTTTCAAACAAACTGAACAACTTCAAAGGACTAGACATTGAGGGCCATTGTGAAAAGGATTAGGCTGCCACCAAGTCTGCTCCAATAAAAGGTGCTGCCAAGGAAGCACTTCTGAATAGGACATGTGAGACATGATGTTGAGATGCCGCCTTTAGGCTAGGGAGGGTAACCAATTGGATATTGGTGGATCAGGGGATAGATGGGATTAGGCAATCACACTGGGTAGATTGGAGTTCATTGTTGGGAGGTGGCAATTAAAGGGAAGGTTGACGAAGATGCAAGTGAAGGATAGACATGAGAGAAACAAATAATAAATGAAAGAATGAGTAATGTCTAATTTCAGTTTGGCACGCCAATGAGGCATTGTTATTGGTGCCTCGCCCAAGACGGCACCAGCGCAAAGAGATGTGCATTAAATTAAAGCAAAGCTGACAAGGAAAGATCGGAGTCTAAGCTCCTCATAATTGGACCTCTCCAGTTACTCTATATCATGGGCCTTCTAAATTAAATATTTTAACACTTCGCAACAAAACTACCCATGCGCAAGCCACTTTTGTGGGAGGCTAAGTTCAGTAAATTTTGAATCATAACTTAAAAAACTTTGGTTGTTATGCTTGAAAGGTGCTGATTGGTGACAACATTTGCAGGCTTGGTGCAATCAAATTTGGCAGCACCCATAGATGTCCTAACTCCTAAAGCTCCAATATAGAATACTTCCTAGTCTATATTGGAGAGAAGTTAGTAAAAAATGGACTAATAAAAATAATATAGGATTTCAAAGCCTGTTGTCCATTATAAGGAATAGGTCTTACAGACACAAATAACTGAGAAGCGGATAGTCTGTGTACGTGTGGGAAAATCCAGAATTCCAAACAGAAAAATAGAGAAACGAAAGAATGAAGGCTAAAGTATAAAGTTGGAAACAATAGAAACTTCTAGCATAAAGATAGTACCTGTCGAACTTGTATCCGTGCAAAAGAGATTCTGCAAGGATGGTTTTTGTAGATGTAGCCAAACAGCCAAGTAAGGCAGCACAAAATCCAAACATATTAAAGCTCATTTCTGTTACAGATGTGAGAAGAATCCCTCCAACAATGGGTATAAGAGAAGCCCAAATACGCCAGTCAAAATACTTCCTCCACACTAGCCATTGCAAAACAACTGTGCAAGTTCACCAAGTTCAGATGATAATATTCTAAAGTTTGAACATAACGCAGGTAGCAAAAATGTAGCAGGAACGTTAACCCTTAAAAACTGATTATGGAACCTTACCTGTTGTTGCAGGTGTGAATGACTTTATTGTCTGCATAAAAGAAACTGGGATGTATCGTAGACTCACATTACCCAGCACTATGTTAATACAGAACACAAATGACATAGGTAAGATTCTTTTCCAGCGATCTTCAGGTTCAACAGTTATCAACGGTTTAAGCTTCAGCACCTTAATTACCACATATGCTCCAATAGCTGAGCAGATAAAGTGGACACAGGATACTGATAGGGGAAACTTGAAATCCAATTTCTGCAAATAGAAAATAAAATAAAACATTTGCTATAATCCATATTCCGTACAAATCTTTACTATGACTAAAGATGATTGGGTGTTGTAAAGATTGATAAACCTCTCTTCACTATAAATGGAACAAAAACATAGAAGGTCGAAACAATATTGTAATTAGAATCACTTAGGTCCAAATAATTTGTTTCTATACTTTAATACCAACCCTAAAGAAACCTTTAAATATAACACCCCTCTTCCTTTCTCCTTAAAATTTTTAATTAATAACTCCCTTCTAAATATAGATCTGACTTCAGGGAACAAGGAATACAACCTAAGAAAACCATCAGACCTTTTTTTACCATCAAAATATAGAATTGGATACTTTAGATACACGGGAAGAAAGCCCAATCTCACAAGGAAAATGATACATTTCTAGAACCACTGAAAATTTGATGCCATATTTATTTGTATACAAATTAACAACACATCTGATCTGCCAGGATCTATATAGTCATGATCGAGTACTGGATCGTAAGATCGTAAAATCTTACATGCTAAGGATGCCTGAGAGTGCTACAATCAGAGAAAGATCATTTTCATCGCCAGCGTAGTCAAGATCAAGCTTGTTGAAGCAAGATCGTAAAAAAACGTGTTGGGGCTTTTTATTTGCGCCTGTATTTAATTCTCATTTTTTTGAATGTTTGCGTGTGTATAGATATATGTGTAGGAAATTACCATTTTTCCCTTCAGTAGAATCGTACAAGCCATGCTAACAATCCGAATTTTACGATCTTTCGCAACCAGACCGATCCTACTTATGATCTCGTGCTTGACTACATTGACCAGTATCATTTTTAATTCATTTTACAATCACATTCACACTTACTTAAACTCTACCGTAGTGTCATAACACTTACATAAAATTATTTTCTATGCATATTTTGGTTAGACAGTTTTGATTCATATGATGCAATCCAAGATAGATTTAAATACAAAAAACCGTGATTCCAAATCAAATTCTAATTCACATGCACTTGTAGCACAAAAGTATCTAGATCAGTAACAAAAACACAACTCTGGAACCATAACAGCACACCTGATTTTGGAAGAAAAATAATATTTTTGTTTTATAATTATAAGCTACTTTTATATAACAGAATAATATCCAAACACACATAAAATTTTCTGGAACAACTAAAATTCTATAAATTAAAAGGCAAAACAAAAATAGCAATTAACAAATACAAAGTCCCTCTCCCTCTACCTAACTATCTCACTAACGATTTTAAAATTATATTTGTGAATTAAAAATAACTGTAGCATGGGTTTAACAGTAAAATAAGGGCTAAAAATACGATTAATTAAGATAAAAAAAGAAAAAATGGAAGAGAAAATAGAACCTGGAAGATCCACTTGTTGACGATGATAACGGTGACATTGAAAGTCCACCATTGAAGGATAGCCAAGAGAGATCTGATAAGGGTCCAGTGGAAAACAAGAGAGGTTTCTTCCATTAGAAAATAGTGAAAGAGAAGAAGAAACGGGTGGTGAATGAGGAGGTTTGTGTTGGTTTCTCATGTAATTTGCATCCTCCTCTCTACTCTTGTTCACACCTTTCTCTCTTTCTTTCTTTCTCTCTGCCTTTTATCGTGAAATTCTTTTTTCAAACGTTTCTATTTGTCATTTTCTATCAAACCTTCGAAAATTATGGCCTGCTTTTATTTTTTTAATTCAATTTAAATTTTGAAATACTAAAGAAAAAATTGTTTTATGTTACTCGATGAGTTTTTTGTTTTTATTTTTTATTTTTTTATTTATAATTTTAGTTATGTTAGGGGGTTTGTGTTGCGGGTCCAAAAGCATTTGAGTTACAAGGTTTGGGTCAATTTGCTCCTAAAATTGTTACCCTTCTCCTAAATATATTTATTCTACGCTATAAAAAAATAAATTAAAAATAAGGTATTTTAAAAAAAATTAAAATATTTAATTTTTTAATTTATTTTTTAAAGTATCTCACTTTAAGAGTATGATAGAGAGATGGTGTCATGTTAATTGGCGACTGTTTATTGGGTTTAAATAGTGTTGGTGACCGAGTTGGTTATACTGGCTACCAGTTCCACATTCCTTAGACACCCTCACTCGTTGCACTTGTCCCTCCTCGTTGTTGATTCACTTCAGGTGTTTGAAGAGTTGAAGTTTCAGGAACATCCTCAGCTGATTTCCTAAGAATTTCTTGCATTTTCATGAGGTCTTGTGTATTGAAACTGAGCGTGCGACCGATGTCAGAGTAGTTCGGATGTGATGAAGGAGTCATTTGTGTGCGGTCTAAATGATTGAAAGGGAACAATGGTGTGAAGGCTTCGTTGGTGAAAGATTAAAATGGTATTAGTGTTTGAAAGTCATAAGGTTGTCGTGATGTTTGTGTGTGTAGGCTAGGGTATGATGTCTGGGCGTTTTGGCTATGGAAAGATGTTTGGGCGTTGTGGCTATGGTATGATGTACCCCCTTTTTGGTTATATCTTGATGTTGTGTTGAGGGCATAACCATATTGGGTTTCCTAATAATAGTCATTTTGTTGGAGATGGTATGGAGGACGCTTTTAGTATTGTGCTTGGGTGTTTGACATGTTTGGATGGTGGATTTGTGTGTTAGTGGGTTGATAATTTTGTTGGGTATGGGGTTGTGAGTAACATGGCCGATAATTTCCTGGTGGGTTAGATGTTGAAGCTTCTTGTGTGTAGGTGGTTTGTCATGGGTCGTATAGATACCTCTCTTCGGAGGCAAACATAGTTCCAATCGATCTGTACCAAGCCATATAATTATTAGTTGGTATAGATGGGAAAGCCATCACCGGGTCACGTAAGACATGAGCGCGACAGTTTCTCCATTTACTACACTCGGATTTTGCAAAATTCTTCCAGTCGGGATAATCCCAATGATCATTAACTTTTTTTTGATGCAATTTACTGAGGTCAATTGGAGGATCTGAGATGTTTTGATGCATTCTAAATTGTAGTTTGGCACGGTAACTATGGTGCATCTCCACAGTGGTGAATCTAATTATCGACACACATGCAGTCCAAACAGTTGCATCTTTCTCACTGACTTCATGTAGGTGTTTCATGTTTAGATATGGACGCCAAATGAACTGAAGAAGAGAAAAATATTAGATCATAAAATGAGTTATATGAAAAATAAATTGATTTTTTTAAAGGCCTTACATCTCCAGGTGTAAGGTGATCCAAGATATTGCGGTATTGAATGATACAATGTCTATGACATCTATTATAACTCATACCCCGAGCCGGCCATCTAAACAACAAAAAATTCAAATTCAATTAGTTAGACACAATAAGTAGTAAGGTGAATAAACTAATATTAAGTTATTAACTTACTTTTGTGCATACGGGAATGAAAAGCTATTGTGGTTTACGGGAGCTAGGGATGACAATCTAGACCAACCCCATGCATGGAGCAAAACGGCACATCCAGAAAAAGTATATGTGTTTTTTTTCCGCACCTACACCAAAAGTTATACAAACAAGACAGACAAGCGGAACCCCAACTATATTCTCTTGTTTTATCTAGATTCCTCAATAAGGGTAAATACATGTACACATCCTCTAACATCACAGTACATTAACCGGTTACAAAAAAGAAGATGTGCATCTTTGGGCGCCATTTGTAATGCCCCATTTTATTTTAATTAATTGAATTATCGGACGTTGTGTATGCGTGTGTGATCATGTGTGTTTTGTTGTGTTTGGGGTACCCTTGGTGTGAGGTAGTAATTTTAAGACTAGACCTTGAGAAAATGATTCGGGGTGTGTGACCAATTGCATAAAGATGAGTGGTGTGGTTAGTAATTAAGTAGTAATATTAGTAAGTAATTATTTATTTGGATAAGAATAGGTGATTATTATTTAAACTAGATAATTAATATTATTACTATTATTTGTTATTATTTATTTGGGAAATAGTAATATTAATAACAATTACAATAATAATAATATTGACATTATAATAAGAATAAAATAGATATTAAGTGAAAAATGGGATTGGGGACATGTCGGTAATATTGTGAGGAACGGTGAGGGCATAAGAGGCAAATCATAGAAAGGATCCTAGGGCTAAACATGTAAATGAGGAAAGTAGAGTTCATTATGTACGATCGTGATTTTTAAGAAGAATTAAAGAAAGGCTAGGGTTGAAGAGGAAATAGAATCCACCATTTGTGAAGGTTTAAAAATCTCAAATCTAAGTTAAGGGTGGGGTTCTGATCTTGTAAGGGTTAGTATGTTGAGTGATGGGTAAAAGTTAAGTTTTGTTTTATGGGTGAAATGTTGTTCTATGTTATGATTGCTATGAATAATTGATAAATGATGAAATTGTTAGTTGATTGATGATAAATGATGTTTTGTTAACTAATATGTGATAGGCTCTTTACCTATAAGTGTGTGTGGTGTTTCTGTTTTAGAAATTGTTGAAAGTTCCTCCATTCTTGAGTTTTGGAGTTTCGAGTTGGAAGTATGAAATTGATGATGATATGTTGTTAATCGATGAGTAAAATATAGCCTAATTGAGTTTTAGGATGTTATTTTGACATAAAATCGGGTCTAGGGTGATGGGGGTTAGTGGTATAGACTTTGGAGTGATAACCTGTGGTGAAATTGCTTTTTAAAAAAGTAATTTTTCGGGTTCGGAGCAGTGTGAGTCGAGCGCTAGAACCCCTGGGTCGATCTGAGGTCACCTGAATGTAATACTGTAGAATTTTGAATAGTATGAGTCAACTCATAGGCTTTGCATCAACCTAAGTACCCTGTGCGTCGACCTTGGGGTCGACTCATAGGCAGGAAAACGTCAGAAACGGTTTCGGTCATAACTATTTAACCGTTAATCCAAATGATGAACCATTCGAAGAGTTGGAAAGCTAATAAGTAGAAATTTAACATAGTATATTAGATGAATGATTTTCCTAATACTTTTATGTCTAATATCTTGAAGAATGTTATTGTTGCTTGTTGTGTACCTTAAGAAGTCGTGTTGTAAGCGACAAATCTTGAGTGCAGTTGCAAAGATGTTGATGATGTTGTTGTGACGTTAATGATGTTGTTATGATATTAATGGTGGTAATATGGGTATGTTTTAATGATATTGTTGTGATGTTAATTATGGTAATATAGGTATGTTTTAATGATGTTGTTGTGATTGCATTACACACACACAAACACACACACATATATATATATATATATATATATATATATATATATATATATATATATATATATATATATATATATATATATATATATATATATATATATATATATATATATATATATATATATATATATATATATATATATATATATATATATATATATATATATATATATATATATATATATATATATATATATATATATATATATATATATATATATATATATATATATATATATATATATATATATATATATATATATATATATATATATATAAGTATGTATGTTTGTGTGTGGTAGGAAATATATTTTCATGTTTGTTGGCCAATTTGGGCGGTGTACGATAACCATGGTGGTGGGTTATTGTGCACGATGATGCTGTTTTTGTTGTATGCATAAATGGTTGCATTGCATACATTCGTGGACAAATGGTCTGTTGTTGGTGAGCCTAAAATCTAATTGTGTGGATTGGGACGGTATCTGATTTGAAGGGGATGGAACATTGAGTTGTTTTGATCCTAGAAGGTGGGTCTCATTACATTATATTTTTAACTATGTGGCTATGTTGCTAATATGTGGTATTGTTGTGATTAATTGAATCTCATGTGATTTACATGTTGGTTGTTGGATAACTTAGTGTTGGTATTAATGTTGTTGGTTGACTAATATGAGCTAAGTAGTTGAGTTATTATTGTGTTATCTTTATATTTGGATAACTTAGTATTGGTGTTTGGTGTTGTATAATGGGTGATAATGTGTGTGTTAACATAATGCATATTATTTAACATGTTTCCTTTATATTATAATGATATCTCACCCCTTCTGTTTGAATATTGCCTCCAGTGGATAATGTGCAGATAATTCGCAGTAGGAGCTCAGATGTGAGTGGAAAATGAGGTCTTCCATTTATTCTTTTAGTTTGACATCTGCTCTGATATATAACACTAGGGTTATGGAACGTTGCGTGTTTTTTTTTATCTTTGGTGGTTGATTAACATGTTTTATTTCTTATGACTGTTGTTTCTTTATGACATTATTAATTATGCTATACCTCAAGTTGTTAACTTGAATGATTAAATGTTATTTCCGCTGCTATATGAATTAATCTTCAGTTATATTTTGTTGATAATGTTATTATAAATAATTTTTAAAAGGACATGTGTTACATATCTGATTGAATGAGTAAGTATTGTTGAAAGTGTGACATTCCTAAATATGATTCTGTGGATAATTACTCTGATTTTATTTATATTACATGGGGGATTATTTAGGTTGTTACATAGTGG